CAGTTATTAAAACTAGATAGAAACCAATTCAACATATTAAAAAAAAATCAGAAAAATTCTTCGTGAAAACTGTCTTTACACGAGTACATTGTTTACTCAATATATGATAAAATCACATAGAGATGCGATGAAACGAAAGACATGATTTTTTTATTCATTAGGATTCGTTGATCATAGGATAGCATACAGTATAGAGACAAAAACTAATTTGAGTATTGTATCAACTGATTGATGACCGAAGGTTCCTTCATGCTTCATTGCCATTCATGTTAAACAATGAGTTAATTGTACAATATTCTACCAAGAAATTCTAAATATGTGATGAGTAAGTGTTCTATTTCGCATTTTTATTTTATTCTATAGAGAGAGAAAAAGAAAAAAATTTTTTTTTTTCATTCCTTTCACCCACTATGGGAAAGTAAATAACGACGAAGAGTCAATGTGTTGGCATATATATATACTATTGCAGTAAAATAAAAATATCGAGCATTGCATTCAGCATAATTCTAGATCAGAAATCACTTGTTCAAGATAAAGTAATTATGATATATTTACTTTGTTTGAAATACATTTGCATCTATACTTAATAGAACTGCATTATGGATGAAATTGAACAATCTATAGCGATTAACGCTAAAAATAACTGTAGTAACTCACAAGTCATACTAAATCCAACAAGACCTAGTATGCTGTTTGTGGAATCATCATATTACATGGGAAGATCACCTCCAGATCTTTCATTCGAAGACTACCAACCTCAATATAGCCGTGGAGGAACTGAAGATCCGTCTTCTCGAATACCTCCATCACATGATAATTTTATAAAATTGTCAATGAATGCCACGGTTAATCTACTTGTTTTTTTTTTCATTTGTTAAACTTCTTTTCTTAGTAGGAATGGAATTTCCCAGTGGCTTGGGCAACCGACTGGCTCAGTCAACAAATTTTGGAAAGTAATTTTAAAAAACTTCTTCATTCATATATCTCATAATGTATTAATTGACTTATTTATAGATCAAACAACGAAAAATCTATGTCAATAATAATACAAAAACGAGCAGTCTTTTTTTTTTGATCTTGGTCCCTTGACACATTTGTTAATACTTTGCTATTTAAATTTTAAGAAACTTTATGGAAAGAAATCGTTTATAAAAAAAAGGGTACTTTCCTGTTATCCCGACCGCCTCAGGGTGAGGATGAGAGTGTGTGTTGAGGGTGGTCAGGATAACAGGAAAGTACCACAAGTATTTGGTTTTTTGCACTGTGTACATTTTTGTGTATTTATTATACGTCAGTGTGGTGTTTTTCTCTTTAATCCAGAAGCTTTTTTTTTATTGTCTATCAGTTGTGTTATTAATTATGCTAATTTGTATGTATTTATCTTCATATTTTAATCGCGAATTAAATAGTATGATGATCTATATTTATAAATATCATATACTAGTGACATCACTAACTTGTTCTGTTTTTAAACAGGAAAGATATGACTAATCGTAAGGTAAAGAAAGAAAAAGATAACCAATCAATATTTATGAAAACGGTCAGTTAGTTCTATATGATGACCTTGTCCGTGTCAAAAAAGAATTTTTAGAGAAAAGAAATATCTCAACTTGTTTTGGGTCTGATTCATTTTGTAATGGTCAAACGGTGATAATTGTATCGATCTTATTCACGTCTCAAATAAAAGCTGTTATTATTGATTAGTACAAACTATGTTGATCATTTCGTCCATAGAATTGTTTTCCTTTTTCGTTTTTCTACATTGCATTTCAAGTTCGGTTTTTTTTTGATTAATTATTTTTAAATTAAATGATAGTTTTTAGTTATCAATAGTCTTACATCAGCTGATATTTATAGTCCTTGCAAAAGACCGCCAACTTTAGGTGTTGAATCGGGTAGAATTCCAAATTCGGCTTTTTTTGCGTCATCTTTTGTAGAAGGTCGAGAACCATATACTGCTCGATTAAACGGTCGTTATGGTTTGTTTTTCTAATGGTTTTTAACTTCAAATAATTTTATTTTATTTCTTTTAAAGCTTGGCGACCTGCTTATATGGATGCAGATCAATATTTATATGTTGATCTTGGTTCTCGATACTATGTAACAGGTGTTGCAACACAAGGTCGTCGTGCAGCAAAAGAATACGTAACAATATTTAATTTAATGTATTCTGATAATGGTCATAATTGGTTTTATTATACAACTGAAGACAAAATCATTGTGGTTGGTTATTTCAATAGGATATATTTAAACAAAAAAAAAAAACTAATTCGGTTTATTTCAGAACTTTGTTGGTAATAAAAATGATGATACTATTGTACGCAATAATCTCTCAGATCCTGTTATCACACGTTATATACGTTTTAATCCTAGACAATGGAATAATTTTATTTCAATGCGTGTAGAAGTTTATGGATGTCCATTTAGTATGAAGATTTATTTTATTATACTAAGATTTTTTTTTTTTTTTTATTAAATTATTTTTTTAAGCATCTTCATCCTTTAACTTTGATGGACAAACAATTGCTTATTATGATGCAACTTTTATTCCATTACATAATAAACAAGATGAATTACGTTTACGTTTTAAAACAAATTATCCACATGGACTTTTATTTTATGCTAAAGGAACACAAAATAATGATTATTTAAGTGTTGAACTTCGTAATGGAAGTATATTTATTGGAATTGATTTAGGTTTGCATTTATGATTATAAATATATATATATATATATATATTGAGAAAAGAATATTTCTTTTTTTTTAGGCTCAATACCAGAACGTTCCGGTGCAACAATAATTCAAGCTGGTAGTGTATTAGATGATTATCAATGGCATGATTTAGCTATTATACGTTATATGAGAAATATTTCGGTAAAAATTGATCAAACAATTGTACGTAAAGAATCACAAAGTGCATTTAATGGATTAGATCTTGATGGAAAAGTAAGACAATTTATTTAATAGAAAAATATACACTTTTTGTAATTGTATAAATCGAATTCAAAGCATAGAATACTCGTTAATCCTATGATTAATACTCATTGTTTTCTTTTATTTAATCAAATGTTACACTATACTTATTCTTTTCGTCGTAAGAATATTCTTTCACTAAGAATAGAAGTGATAATATAAGATATGCGATTAGTTTTTTTTATTGTTCATTAATTTTGATCATAGTTGTAGTTGTCTGACTACGCGAGTGTCTTTCAAATTGATTAATAGATACATTTCTATTTCTGTTTAGCTTTATGTTGGTGGCGCACCTAATCATATGGAACGAGGAATAAATGTTCGACCTAATTTTCAAGGTTGCTTGGAAAATGTTCTATATGTCAGTCCATCAACAAATTCTATTTTGGATATATTACAAAATCTACAACGACAAAATCCATTCTATGGTCTTGAACAAGGAAGAGTTGGTTCTGGAGCAATGTGTGAAGTAAGTTAAATACTAATTTTTCTTTTTTGTCTCTTCGTTTTCTATCATATTTAATAATAATAAAAGAAATAATAATAACTTCATTACTTTATTCTTTTAGATTAAGATTAAAAAGTGAGGAAAATATCATATTTGTGTTTTTTGCTTTCATCAATAATTCCAGCTGCTGTGCTCATGCATGATGAGAATCTATATTATTTTGTTTTTTTTTTGAGTTGGTCCTAGCATGCTTATGCATAATAAATAATCAGTTTATTTGTTTGTTTTATTCATAAATAATAATTTCTTTTCTTTTAATTTTTAGGATGATTCAATGAATATGCATCCATATACATTTAAAAAATTTGATTCTTATCTTGAAATATTTCGTAAACCAGGTTCAACATCTATTGATATAAGTTTTCAAATGCGTACATTTGAACCAAATGGAATTTTATTTTATACAAATTTATCTGAACCGAGACATTTAATGGTTGGTATTAATGATGTGCCTGATCAAGATTTTTTACGAGTAAGAAAAATTTTAAAATAATAAAAAAATATGTGGTTGATCTTTGTTGTTGTTATTTTGTTAAAGTTGTTTCTTGACGAAGGACAATTAGCTTGTACTCTACAATTAGATGGAAATAAACGAACTGTTCGTCATCGTCGAGGTAAATTTTAATGATCTGGTATCTTTTGTTTTATCTCAAAATTTTAGATAATTTAAATGATGGTCAATGGCATGAAATAAGTCTTCTATTAACACAATATCGTTTTAATATAACAGTTGATTATGAACCTGAATTATCATTTACACGTAATAATTTATCAACAACAGATCGTTTTACATTTAGTTCAAATGGTGATCAAATAAATCGTGAAACAACAATGAATGGTTTTGTTGGTTGTATAAGACAATTAGTTATGAGTGGAATACAAATATTACCAAGAGATTTAACAAGTAATTTAACTATTCTAAGATCAGGTGATAATCGTCCAAGAACAGGAACTGTTATTAATCATGGTGTACTTGTTGATGCTTGTGAAATGTTTGATCGTTGTACACCGAATCCATGTCGTCATGGCGGCATATGTCATCAAGTAAGATTAAAAAAAAATCATAGTCATAACGTTTAAATCGATACATTCGAATCAAGATTAAACTTCTTTTTTTCTTGCTATCCTATAATTGCAATAGGTCTAATGCCATCAAGAAGTATTTAATGAATGCTTTACGATAGTAATCTGAAGAGTCTAAATTGATGTAAAATATGAGAATGAATATATGATGACTATTTTTTTAATCCAATATTTTCAAATGAATAATGAAACAACTAAATCGTTAAGAGTGTTTCTTCTCCTTTCGTGAATCGAAACTTTTTTTTAGTTGTTGTATAGTCTAAAGTAGTATATATCTAATGAGTACATTTTGAGATCCAAAAGTTGTCTTTCAACATTAAAGAATTAAATTTACGTAATAGAAATAGTAAATCATATTTTTCTCAAACCAACTTTTTCATGAAAAATTGTGCAGAAACGTTCCCATTCCTCTGACTAAGTACGTCCGATAGAATTGAAACTTTTTTCACATATACTATACACTGTTCGGGATGAGTTAGTTTTTCTTTATTTCAAAAAATATTGTTCTGGTGGTTTTTAGTAACTCTATTGAAATCAAAAAGATACCCAACCTAAACAATGTCTAATACTTGTAAAGCCTGAGCTACTCGGGCTCGATACATGTCTAGTCAAGATTTATCTATAAATTAATAGTCTCATCTTTGATAATACAACAATGAAAACAGCAAAGAATAAGACAAGATGGAAAGAATTTTATCTAGAGCTGTATTTTGATTTTAATAGTAGTACAAACAGAATCATAGTACAATTAATACACATGACCTAAATTAGAGTAAAATAATTATAATTTATATTAATTTCAAATTCATTTTATTATTTCTATTGAAAAATAAATCTTGATTTTTTTTTCTCGTATTTCATTAGACATGGACAAGATTTCGTTGTGATTGTTCTAAAACAGGTTATAGCGGTGCTGTATGTCATATTAGTGATAATCCATTATCATGTCTTGATTTTAAATTAAATCGTATGAAAATAGATGAAATAATTCCTGAACGTTTAACAATAATTGATATTGATGGTAGTGGTCCATTATCTCCATTTCCTGTTGTATGTCGTTATGGTGGTAAATCTGAAATTCTTAATGTAACAGAAATAGGTCATTATCATGAATTAGAAAGTTATGTATCAAGTGGTTATCAATTACCTAATTCAATTTATTCTCAAACAATAAATTATCGTGTACCATTAGCACAAGTATTTGCTGTTATTGATCGTTCATATGTATGTAAACAATATATTGAATATACATGTTTTAATTCACGTTTATTAAATTATCCAAATCCACCATTTGGTTGGTGGATTGGTCGTACAAATCAAACAATGGATTATTGGGGTGGAAGTGAACTTGGAACAGGAAAATGTTCATGTGGTTTAGATATGACATGTGCTAATCCAAATTTATTTTGTAATTGTGATTCACAATTTAAAACTGAACTTAAAGATGCAGGATATTTGACAAGAAAAGAATTTTTACCT